TAAAGAGTAAAGAGTAAAGAGTAAAGAGTAAAGAGTAAAGAGTAAAGAGTAAAGAGTAAAGAGTAAAGAGTAAAGAGTAAAGAGTAAAGAGTAAAGAGTAAAGAGTAAAGAGTAAAGAGTAAAGAGTAAAGAGTAAAGAGTAAAGAGTAAAGAGTAAAGAGTAAAGAGTAAAGAGTAAAGAGTAAAGAGTAAAGAGTAAAGAGTAAAGAGTAAAGAGTAAAGAGTAAAGAGTAAAGAGTAAAGAGTAAAGAGTAAAGAGTAAAGAGTAAAGAGTAAAGAGTAAAGAGTAAAGAGTAAAGAGTAAAGAGTAAAGAGTAAAGAGTAAAGAGTAAAGAGTAAAGAGTAAAGAGTAAAGAGTAAAGAGTAAAGAGTAAAGAGTAAAGAGTAAAGAGTAAAGAGTAAAGAGTAAAGAGTAAAGAGTAAAGAGTAAAGAGTAAAGAGTAAAGAGTAAAGAGTAAAGAGTAAAGAGTAAAGAGTAAAGAGTAAAGAGTAAAGAGTAAAGAGTAAAGAGTAAAGAGTAAAGAGTAAAGAGTAAAGAGTAAAGAGTAAAGAGTAAAGAGTAAAGAGTAAAGAGTAAAGAGTAAAGAGTAAAGAGTAAAGAGTAAAGAGTAAAGAGTAAAGAGTAAAGAGTAAAGAGTAAAGAGTAAAGAGTAAAGAGTAAAGAGTAAAGAGTAAAGAGTAAAGAGTAAAGAGTAAAGAGTAAAGAGTAAAGAGTAAAGAGTAAAGAGTAAAGAGTAAAGAGTAAAGAGTAAAGAGTAAAGAGTAAAGAGTAAAGAGTAAAGAGTAAAGAGTAAAGAGTAAAGAGTAAAGAGTAAAGAGTAAAGAGTAAAGAGTAAAGAGTAAAGAGTAAAGAGTAAAGAGTAAAGAGTAAAGAGTAAAGAGTAAAGAGTAAAGAGTAAAGAGTAAAGAGTAAAGAGTAAAGAGTAAAGAGTAAAGAGTAAAGAGTAAAGAGTAAAGAGTAAAGAGTAAAGAGTAAAGAGTAAAGAGTAAAGAGTAAAGAGTAAAGAGTAAAGAGTAAAGAGTAAAGAGTAAAGAGTAAAGAGTAAAGAGTAAAGAGTAAAGAGTAAAGAGTAAAGAGTAAAGAGTAAAGAGTAAAGAGTAAAGAGTAAAGAGTAAAGAGTAAAGAGTAAAGAGTAAAGAGTAAAGAGTAAAGAGTAAAGAGTAAAGAGTAAAGAGTAAAGAGTAAAGAGTAAAGAGTAAAGAGTAAAGAGTAAAGAGTAAAGAGTAAAGAGTAAAGAGTAAAGAGTAAAGAGTAAAGAGTAAAGAGTAAAGAGTAAAGAGTAAAGAGTAAAGAGTAAAGAGTAAAGAGTAAAGAGTAAAGAGTAAAGAGTAAAGAGTAAAGAGTAAAGAGTAAAGAGTAAAGAGTAAAGAGTAAAGAGTAAAGAGTAAAGAGTAAAGAGTAAAGAGTAAAGAGTAAAGAGTAAAGAGTAAAGAGTAAAGAGTAAAGAGTAAAGAGTAAAGAGTAAAGAGTAAAGAGTAAAGAGTAAAGAGTAAAGAGTAAAGAGTAAAGAGTAAAGAGTAAAGAGTAAAGAGTAAAGAGTAAAGAGTAAAGAGTAAAGAGTAAAGAGTAAAGAGTAAAGAGTAAAGAGTAAAGAGTAAAGAGTAAAGAGTAAAGAGTAAAGAGTAAAGAGTAAAGAGTAAAGAGTAAAGAGTAAAGAGTAAAGAGTAAAGAGTAAAGAGTAAAGAGTAAAGAGTAAAGAGTAAAGAGTAAAGAGTAAAGAGTAAAGAGTAAAGAGTAAAGAGTAAAGAGTAAAGAGTAAAGAGTAAAGAGTAAAGAGTAAAGAGTAAAGAGTAAAGAGTAAAGAGTAAAGAGTAAAGAGTAAAGAGTAAAGAGTAAAGAGTAAAGAGTAAAGAGTAAAGAGTAAAGAGTAAAGAGTAAAGAGTAAAGAGTAAAGAGTAAAGAGTAAAGAGTAAAGAGTAAAGAGTAAAGAGTAAAGAGTAAAGAGTAAAGAGTAAAGAGTAAAGAGTAAAGAGTAAAGAGTAAAGAGTAAAGAGTAAAGAGTAAAGAGTAAAGAGTAAAGAGTAAAGAGTAAAGAGTAAAGAGTAAAGAGTAAAGAGTAAAGAGTAAAGAGTAAAGAGTAAAGAGTAAAGAGTAAAGAGTAAAGAGTAAAGAGTAAAGAGTAAAGAGTAAAGAGTAAAGAGTAAAGAGTAAAGAGTAAAGAGTAAAGAGTAAAGAGTAAAGAGTAAAGAGTAAAGAGTAAAGAGTAAAGAGTAAAGAGTAAAGAGTAAAGAGTAAAGAGTAAAGAGTAAAGAGTAAAGAGTAAAGAGTAAAGAGTAAAGAGTAAAGAGTAAAGAGTAAAGAGTAAAGAGTAAAGAGTAAAGAGTAAAGAGTAAAGAGTAAAGAGTAAAGAGTAAAGAGTAAAGAGTAAAGAGTAAAGAGTAAAGAGTAAAGAGTAAAGAGTAAAGAGTAAAGAGTAAAGAGTAAAGAGTAAAGAGTAAAGAGTAAAGAGTAAAGAGTAAAGAGTAAAGAGTAAAGAGTAAAGAGTAAAGAGTAAAGAGTAAAGAGTAAAGAGTAAAGAGTAAAGAGTAAAGAGTAAAGAGTAAAGAGTAAAGAGTAAAGAGTAAAGAGTAAAGAGTAAAGAGTAAAGAGTAAAGAGTAAAGAGTAAAGAGTAAAGAGTAAAGAGTAAAGAGTAAAGAGTAAAGAGTAAAGAGTAAAGAGTAAAGAGTAAAGAGTAAAGAGTAAAGAGTAAAGAGTAAAGAGTAAAGAGTAAAGAGTAAAGAGTAAAGAGTAAAGAGTAAAGAGTAAAGAGTAAAGAGTAAAGAGTAAAGAGTAAAGAGTAAAGAGTAAAGAGTAAAGAGTAAAGAGTAAAGAGTAAAGAGTAAAGAGTAAAGAGTAAAGAGTAAAGAGTAAAGAGTAAAGAGTAAAGAGTAAAGAGTAAAGAGTAAAGAGTAAAGAGTAAAGAGTAAAGAGTAAAGAGTAAAGAGTAAAGAGTAAAGAGTAAAGAGTAAAGAGTAAAGAGTAAAGAGTAAAGAGTAAAGAGTAAAGAGTAAAGAGTAAAGAGTAAAGAGTAAAGAGTAAAGAGTAAAGAGTAAAGAGTAAAGAGTAAAGAGTAAAGAGTAAAGAGTAAAGAGTAAAGAGTAAAGAGTAAAGAGTAAAGAGTAAAGAGTAAAGAGTAAAGAGTAAAGAGTAAAGAGTAAAGAGTAAAGAGTAAAGAGTAAAGAGTAAAGAGTAAAGAGTAAAGAGTAAAGAGTAAAGAGTAAAGAGTAAAGAGTAAAGAGTAAAGAGTAAAGAGTAAAGAGTAAAGAGTAAAGAGTAAAGAGTAAAGAGTAAAGAGTAAAGAGTAAAGAGTAAAGAGTAAAGAGTAAAGAGTAAAGAGTAAAGAGTAAAGAGTAAAGAGTAAAGAGTAAAGAGTAAAGAGTAAAGAGTAAAGAGTAAAGAGTAAAGAGTAAAGAGTAAAGAGTAAAGAGTAAAGAGTAAAGAGTAAAGAGTAAAGAGTAAAGAGTAAAGAGTAAAGAGTAAAGAGTAAAGAGTAAAGAGTAAAGAGTAAAGAGTAAAGAGTAAAGAGTAAAGAGTAAAGAGTAAAGAGTAAAGAGTAAAGAGTAAAGAGTAAAGAGTAAAGAGTAAAGAGTAAAGAGTAAAGAGTAAAGAGTAAAGAGTAAAGAGTAAAGAGTAAAGAGTAAAGAGTAAAGAGTAAAGAGTAAAGAGTAAAGAGTAAAGAGTAAAGAGTAAAGAGTAAAGAGTAAAGAGTAAAGAGTAAAGAGTAAAGAGTAAAGAGTAAAGAGTAAAGAGTAAAGAGTAAAGAGTAAAGAGTAAAGAGTAAAGAGTAAAGAGTAAAGAGTAAAGAGTAAAGCGTAAAGAGTAAAGAGTAAAGAGTAAAGAGTAAAGAGTAAAGAGTAAAGAGTAAAGAGTAAAGAGTAAAG